TTTGCCTTTGTCTCACCTCTCATGCTTTTCATTCTTCCTCCTACCCTCATTCTTTTGGTCTCCACCTTACTTCAGTCATTTTGAAATATGGTAAATGGTCTTATACTTGTGTAGCGCTTTTCTATGCTTTGCAGCACACTCAAAGCACTTTCCCACTATTTGGCCATCCACTCAATCACACTCCCAAGCACCAGGAGCAACTGGGGGTTCAGTGTCTTGCTCAAGGCCACTTTGACATGTGGACCGGCCAAGCCGGGAATCGAACTGCTAATCTTCCGGTTAAGAGATGACCCGCTAAGGCTTGATATGGATACTGTTGTCTTGGTTTGATTGATCAGAGCAACAGTGTTGCACAGAGTGCTTCTCATCATCGTGCTTCATCTCCATGCCTTTCAGTTTTTTTCTCTCTTTGTTTGTGGCTCCTTATATCTTAGTGGCACCCGGTCGCTAGCCTAACCACTAGCAGCCTGCTCGTCTTTAATCCCTCTGCTGACGGTTGGCACCGTGTTGCATAACATGGCAGCGTGCCTGCCGAGGGTTTTCCCTCTTCTCCAGCTGGATAAGGGATTATCCACAGTGCTACTGGGTCCCCTCGGAAAGCACAAACCTTCATCCATCTCCAGGCTTTATCATCCCAGTCAGATGATGTAATGTAATAAAATAGTGGAGTGGAGAGATGGAGGGTGGAAGATATGCTTCTGTGAAGATGCTCTGCAGATGAGTAACTGTAGAGCTGCTGAATTTAATAATTCTGACGGGGGATAATTAACACTGACTTTACTGGACAGTTGTCTGAATAGTAAAATACTCAGTTTTAATGATAAGTTCAGTAAGTCATTTATTAAAGAAAGTGGCAGGATTTGCTGCTTTTCTGTGTTTGCATTATTGTGTTCTAAGTTCAGTATCTGTGCAGTTGAGACTGTTGCTCAGACAAAACAAGCAACTTGAAGATGCTGACCAGGGTAACAAGAATTTGAACCATTTTTATCTTTTATAAATGATTAGCAATTAATCCAAAAAATAACTGACTGCTTGATGGGTAATGAAAAATAATCATTGCAGCTATAATTGTGCTAATAGTACAGGTAATATGTTTTTTTCTGTAAACTGCTTTAAGAAACAGTGCTGTCTAAATGAATGATGCCAAGCAAACTGGAATTAAAATCTGACCAGTGGGACACAGTTTATCCAAGAAAACATTATGTGTATACGATTGTACAGCAACATGTCATTAAAAATAGCATCATGCTACTCTGGATTATTGACAGGCCATAATGTGCCAAGGTCAAGAGAAAGACAGGAAGCAAAAGCAGATGGTCAGGAAACAAAAAGGTGGAATTTGGAAGCAATATCTTAAAATTCTCCTGTATGATTTTCATTAGTCTTTATTTCGGTGACTTTTTGAAAGGAAATCTACTTTCAGTCAAAAACAGGCTTTTATTGAGAAGTCATTATGTAATTTGTCTGATAAAACCCGGTGTGTGCTCACCTGACTAGTATTGGACATTTGGCAGAACCTGCATATTGTAGTTCATTATAAAAGTGCAATGATTATTCCATAAGTAAAAGATGAATCTTTATTTATTCCACATTAAGCTATGACATCTGTTGTAGATGCCATTTCATTCTGAAAAGGTCAACACTGATGACTAAATGTTCTACACGAGGCATCTTTGACACCATTACTGCCAGAAACCCAGTGCTCCCAGTGAGCTTTCAGGACTCTGATCCAGTGCTTAAAACAGTGGCGTGACTTAAAACCTGCTTTTAAGTCATGCCACCAGATTTGTGGGTTCACTTTCAACTCTAGCCAAAGAATTTTAAGATGTTAATTCCTTCTAATTGGGTAAATCGTATTCTCAGCCTCATGCAGGCCCCTATTGCACAGTCATTTGATTTGCACACATGGCATACAGATGGTTTTTTGTACCACGCTCTCAATGCTAGATTAGTTTTGATTTGAAGAGTTGCATAAGAGTTAAAGCTGGAGAAATGCCACTGAGTTTAACCAGGATGACACAACTATCTTAAAACGTTGAGCGGTCATGTAGAAGAATCATCTGGTTGAAACATGGAAAAGGACCCCAGGCTGTTTGTGGAGGAAAAAGACAGGACACACAGAAAATGATGGAGGAAAACAGTTGGCAGTTTTAGCTCTGAGTGTGGCCAAAGCAGCCTCTGTCAGGCACCCTGCAGCTGTTTCAAGCAATCATGTGACTGATAAAATAGAAGTTATTATAAATAAAATCTTAAGATTTTTGCTCCTTAAACAAGTGTTATACATTCTATTCATTAAATCATTCATCTCTTGTTGGTTGAGACCAAACCAGAGCTAAAAGGAAAGTGAATATCAGAGATACATTCATCAGGTTAACTCCAGCTCAGCATCAGTGGGATGCTAATTTCGTGCTCCCTATGCTGGATGTGGATGAAGGCAGCTGTCTAACTTTGTGCAACTTAAAAGGCTGGCAGTATGTGGTCGGGTTGTTTTAGTGTTTGTGTGCCCCTAGTGGCCAAAGCTTGAACACTATTCTTAATTTCTCCTCAGCCATCATGTATGTGATGGGAGCACTGGGTCCAGCAGCTGGATATCTGCTGGGAGGTGTTCTCATCGGCTTTTATGTGGACCCCAAGACTGTTGTCAACATTGACCAGAGTGACCCCCGATTCATCGGCAACTGGTGAGAGCTGCTTTTAGTTGACAGAAATGTGAAATACATGTCTGAATCTATATACAGTGGGGCAAATAAGTATTTGATACACTGCTGATTTTTCAAGTTTTCCCACTTGCAGAGAATGGACAGATCTGCAATTTTCCTTGTAGGTACACCTAAACTGTGAGAGACAGAATCTACAAAAAAAATTCCAGTAAATCACATTGTTAGATTTTTATGAACTATGAAAATGTACTGATTGCACTGGGTGACACTGTAGTTTACTTTGGCTCTGTCCCACACACACCGCCACTGAATAGAGACCAAATGTGGACTAATCTAGTCCCCAAGAAATTTCCTCCTGTTTGAGAAACTTTTTCTAAAACTAGTGTCTAGCTGTTTTTAAACATGTGCCGTATGCCTTCAGTAGGAACCAAAGGGCTCAGACCTGAAAGCCAGAGACAGGGTAGGCAGGTCAGAAATACCTGAGGGATGGACGAGCGCTTTGTTAGTTCTGGTCTGTTTATTGGCAAAAGCAAAATCCTTATCCTTTGACAAATAGTCAGATTTGCTCAGTGCATCAGTGGTAAATAAAGAATGCAAGCTAAATAAAATATATTCTTCAAATGAGAAAGGTTTACAGACTAAATTCTGGTAAAAACACACCATGAATGAATATTTACCCCCAAATGAGTAATGAAATCTGTAACAGCCCACAAGGCCTGAATATGCTTTGTTCCTCCTCATTTCCTGCTAAAAGTGTGGTCATTAGAGTTTGTGCCACCACGCACAAGAGTGAATCAGCAGTGTGAAAACGGCCGCCAATGAAAACAATCTAACAATCTGTACTGTGGGCAGGAAGCTTTACAAACCAGGAATCTACAGAAATGCAGCGTCACTTGAATTACATTAGATGCATGTTTGATCTTTTGGTCACATTTCTGTGCACATCTTATATCCAAATGTGACTCTGTTGGTGTGTGTGAGATGCAGTTAGTCATCTATTTACAGCACTTGGTGATGCCATCCTCTAACTGACAGCATAACCAGTGACTCAGTAGCAAACAGCCACAGGCTTCCTACATGAATTATAGGTGATGATAGCAGGAAGAGGATGGATGAGTGTACCGGTGATTTAGCACAAGTCTGACTACACTTTATTTATTTATTTGTGTGCACAATAAAAAGGCACAAACATAAAATGACACCAAGTCCACAGTGACTTTTGATAGCACAGAGGTGAGGAGTGGCGTCCTCCATCTTTGACTCAACCTGAATTGACCTCTTACTGGCAATAAGAAGAAAACTTTGTCTCCTGTCTCGTCTGCCTAGGTGGAGCGGCTTCCTGCTGTGCGCCACGGCCATGCTGCTGGTCATCTTCCCCATGTTCGCTTTCCCCAAGAAGCTGCCGCCCCGACACAAGAAGAAGAAAAGGAGGAAAAAGCTGAGCCTGGATGACCTGTCCAGTGATGATGACGTCCTCAAGGAGAAGAGCAACAACAAGAGTCAGATGGTCACGTCATCCATGGGCTTTGGCAAGGACCTAAAAGGTACCAGACTGGGTTACTGTAAAGTACTGTGACCTGTCAGCGGAGGCTGGTGATGCCAGCTACAAATGGAGGGTTTCTCAGAGGCATGGCTCTGTGCTCCTCTTTATATTAACTTACAGCCTTTGACACAGACAACACAGACGTGGTGATGTTAAACTATGAGTCCAGCTGATCGACATCTATCTTAAACTCAGCGCAGATCGCTGTGGGTATTATTTATCATTATATGAGATTGTTTTCAGTATTCCACATCGATGTATTATAATAGCCTCTAATGAAAAGCAGAAGATGGATGGCTGGATGGATTAACCAGTGGAAATAGTGTTGAACTTTCTGCTAAAATACTTGTTATACACTCAGCTTCTTAGCAACTATACTGTAGCTAACTGACTGACAGTCTACAAACACAGATTGAGCAGCCTGCTATGTGCATGACCAACTGTTGCAACCATCGCACTTTCAAGTTTGTAGGTGTGTACACCTTACATGTTAACCTTCAGAGGAAAGAACAGAAGCATTGTATGACGGAGGCGGTGCTCCTCAGTTGTAATGCACTGTAAACAAAGAGCATGTCTACATCAGTACAGGTCTTTACATTGCTTTTAATTTTCCCCCTTCCAGACCTGCCCAAAGCCGCAGTGAGGATTCTCAGCAACGTGACCTTCTTGTTCGTCAGTCTGTCCTACACAGCGGAGAGTGCCATCGTCACCGCGTTCATCACCTTCATCCCCAAGTTCATTGAGTCTCAGTTTGGCATCCCGGCCTCCAGTGCCAGCATCTATACTGGTGAGTTGAATTTCACACCACAGTATTCTACAGCACCAGGTTACCTCATCACTTGAGCCAGGTTCTGATCCACTCACAGATCTTTGTCTGAAAATCTGATCTCTGATTGTCTCCATTAATCGTCATTTCTTTGGTATGTTCTGTACATCTGGTGTTTCTCAAACTCTCAAACGTGGTGGGACTGAGCATTTTTAAAAGCAGAAATGCTCTGCACTTTCTTAGCTGCGTTCCCCTCTAGTGTCTCCACAGCAGACAGACTACAGAACATTCATACAACACCCAAGATTTCAGTTTCCGCCAGTTCAGCTCTGCTGGTTGTATCTAAGAACAGAGCAGGAGAGGCTGTCGGATTCGAGCTGCAGGGCAACACATTAATAATAAGAAAACTGCTGGTCTTCAAATGAAGGGGGGCACTGGGGACACTGAGCTACAGCACTGTGTGCATTACACACACACACACACACACACACACACACACACATTGCACTAGTGTGCACTAATGTGCTGTACATACTGTCACATGCTGAAGCATGTGCATGCTTAAACAAGCATAAAGGCTAATCCATTACATGCTCATACACAGCATGTTAACATGCTAACACTGTGCATGTTGGCAAGCGAACACTAAAGTTTACATAAAGTATAAAAGATGCTTGAACATCAACTTGGTGTAAAGTTTATGGAATGGTTCACATCATGGTCATCCTCATCAGACCAGTCAGTGACCCCTCATGTCCTGTGGACGGGGGCACTGTCATCATGGAGGAGACCACTCAGTTATTGAAGTCTTTGTCGCCTGTTTGTATTTCTCATCATGCATTTATGGTCACCCAACAAATTTGCCTTTAGTATGAGTACAGACCTACAGGCTAGTCATATTACAGAATTGTTTGTTGATGCAGTGATCTTTCTATAGACCAGCTCATTTATGTTATAGAAGTGAAATGCCCAGCCATAGAGGAGTTCAGTCTGTCAGGTTTGTACCTTAAACCTGGAGAGCCACCCCTGTACACATACAGTCAGGTCCATAAGTATTTGGATAAGGATGCAATTTTTGTGTTTTGCCTCTGTACATATCCTCAGTGGACTTGAAATAAAGCAGTCAATATATTAATGAAGTGTAGACCATCAGCTTTAATCCCAGGGATAAAAAAAAACAGTGCATTAACCATTTAGGCACAAACTGTGTCCTTGTCCAAATATATACAGACCTGACTGGAGGTGTTATTTCATCATAATGACAAAGTTTTCAACTAACTTAAAATTTTTTACTTGCTGTTCATAAACATTTTTTGTTCAATGCAATTTTCAAGAGTTTAATTACAAAATAAGAGAATCTCCTTTAGGGAAAAAAAAAATCACATCACACGCTCCGTAATGGTTGGCTAAGCTTTTAACAACTGAATAAACAAATTATATCTTAAAATCTCCATTTCTGTTGTTTTGGAAAGTTTTCATTTGCACTCACATTTTTAAAGGCTCCATCTTGGAGGACTTTTGTCATCACAAATGTTTTCGTCTCGAGTTATATAACTGTCTCTGCTGTAGGTGGAGTGGGCTTGAAGTGCCTGATTAAAACTGCCACTCATACATATTTTCATATTATCTAGTGACTCAAATGAAACTTTTGCTTGGGAACCTGCTCAAGGATTTGTGAAGGTCTCTGTGGAGTATGTTTGTGGTTTGGTAGGTGAGTGGGTAGAGCACGGCACTGGCACCCACCTGCCTGCTTCTATTCCCTCAGCAGAAGACGTATAATGAGGTGTTGGAAATCACTGTGATTTCCAACTTATTGTTGCATCTTAGAGAACCTCTGTACCCATTTGGAAGTGCTTTGGGTTTTAAACAATTTTAAAATATCCGATTATCTGCAAATTATAATTTGAAAACCGATTACCTATCCAATGGACAAATATCCGAATAGCCAGATATTCGGGTTCATCCTTAGTAGCACGAGGCCAGTTTCAGTTCATTAAAGACAGATGAGAGGACCAATGCATCTCTCTCTTCAGATTTTCATCTGTTCTGTCCAGACGGTCTTTTCTTGGAAGCATAGGCCTGTTCCCGTCCATTTAACCAAGGACTTGAAAATTTAATTTTGGGGCAAATGTCATTGAACCTATTGGCATGGAGTTTTAGAAGCTACAAAAGAGACATGACTTGTCTCGTGCTTCTACAGCAGTTAGGATCAGCTCGCTGTACAATGCTTTGAATAAAACTCTGTTATTTTGGCCAGAGAGTTCTCTGTATTTCTAATATGTGCCTGTCTTCCCTCCAGGTGTGATTATCGTGCCTAGCGCCGGCGTGGGCATTGTCCTTGGTGGCTACATCATTAAGAAGCTGAAGCTGGGCGCTCGTGAGTCGGCCAAGCTGGCCATGATCTGCAGTGGAGTCTCCCTGCTCTGCTTCTCTACACTGTTCATCGTGGGCTGTGAGAGCATCAACCTTGGAGGAATCAACATCCCCTACACCACTGGGTGAGCAGCTCTGAGTGGGGACACTGTCTGTTCAGTTTGGTGAAGCGGTGGGTTGTCATGCGTCACTGCTGCCCAGGAACAACGACATCGCTGCAGTGCCGAGGTTGTCTGTCTAATCTGAATTGAAAATTTACACTGGGCGTTGAGTGGTTGGTGTTCGGTTTCCATGGTGATGTGACAGTGGAGGACAGATGCAGACAGCCAGATGCATTCAAAGGATGAAAGAGAGGAGAAAAGCAGAGTCAAAGACAGGAGAGCACACGTATCTGTTACAGATAGACTGTAAAGGAAGAGTCTCGTGTTTTGATTTGTTTTCTTAAGGTTTTTGTTGACCATTGGAACTCAATGAGCCGTATCCTGGAGCTTTCCGTACCTGGGCCGCTTTGCTTCTAAAAGGTCTTTTTCTCCATGCCACTTCCTGTTTACACGAGGGCAGGTTACACTCCTTACACACACAGCCCAGCATCTTAAATGGAAAAGGCCTTTTAGTTTCTGAGGGGAGCTGGAATGTACTGATTTTTGTTTTGTTGACAATAATAGCCGGAAACAAAACAGTATAGCCGTCCCTGGTAGGCTAGTGGTTAAGGCGCAGCGCTCTTGCTGCTGCGGCCTAGGTTCGAGTCAGGGTTGCATCAGGAAGAGCATCCGTTGTAAAAAACACGTGCCAAATGGCAACATGCAAGTGGAAGATATGACGATTTGCTGTTCCCCTAAGCGAGAAAAGCCGAAAGTGACTTTCTTAATGAAAACACAGAAGAGTATCAGGCTTATCCTTTAACATAAAATAACCTGGCTAGGTTACTTAAATGATATGGACAATTTGAAGCAAGCACAAAAAGACATTTGCTGTTTTTACTGTTGTCGTACATTTTGGGTAGAGACAGAAAAGGCAAATAAATAATGAACTACAATAAAACAGTTTTTGGCCTTTGGAATAAATTCATACAAGTAGCTTTCACTATGACACCAGGCTGCACTGGGTCACTTGTCAAAGCTAATACAGAAAAATTTTAATGCTTCCAAATGTCCCCACTTTTGATTTTTGATCTATGATTTCTTTGTTTATTTTTAGGCACATATTCTAAAAGTCAACATTTGCTTAGGGCCTTTTCAAACATCTCCTGTAGTGTTACTCTTTTCAGGTCTCCTCATAATTCCAGGATTAAACAGGGTCTTTTTCCTGGTTTCCCAAAAAAAAAAAAAAAAAAACTGAAACAGCAGTTTGCTGACTGCAGCTTGGCCTTTTTCATATTAAATCATTTTCTGGCACGATGGAGGCAGTGGTGGTTTTTATCGCCCCATCTGTGGCTGATGTCAGGGAGGAAGCGAGCATTCAGATCAGTGCAGGGTAGCAGATAACGAGCCAGTAAACGGAGGCGGGCTCTTTTGGACGGTGTGTCCCTGAGAGCGATAACATGGCAACGATGGAAAATGTCCAAGGACAGCTTGGAACAGTGGATCTTTGGCTGACTGCCCTTTTTTCTGCCATGTTCCACTCGTGCTTCTCCCTCTGTCAGTCTGTCCTTCTTGCCCTCTTCTCTTCATCATCTGTTCTTAAATGCTGTTTTTATCTTTTTCCTCTTATCTCTTTTTCCTTTCTCATCTTTCATTGATCACTTTTTCTGCTTCTAGTCTGCCTGTCTCCATCACCCTTTCATCTCACTTCTTCCTGTAACCTTTCTTACTGTCGTTTTGCCCGTGTCATACTCTTGTAGCTCTCATGTCCCTCCTTCTTCTGTCTTTTCCATTGTAAAAAACAGTAAGGATTAGAAGTAAATTGAGTTCTAAAATGCAACACCTGGACAACTGCTGTGTCTCTCTTCATGTTTTCTCTCCAGACCTACGCTCACCATGACCCAGAGGAACCTGACCGGAGGCTGCAATGTGAACTGCGGTTGTAAAATCCACGAGTATGCTCCGGTCTGTGGCTCTGATGGCATCACATACTTTAACCCCTGCCTGGCCGGCTGCAGCAGCGTGGTCAATGATAGCACCGGGGTAAGAGTGGGGATAGTGGATAACAAGCTAGCACAGCTGTGTATCTTTAGATTCACTGCCAAGACACGAACAGAGCTGAGAATATCAGTTTGATTCTCTGTAGGAGCTTAATAGAACTGGAGATCGCTGCTAAGTGAACTGAATTTTTAAATAGAGATGAAATATTTTCATGTCCTCAAGAGTTTAGGACTGTGTCACTTAATTCAACTAAAATGTAAAGTGTAGAGGCAGAGACAGACTGGCAGACAGTCTCTGTGATGATGGTACTGACGTCAGAGTTGCTATAACGGCATACATATCTGCCGTCCAGATTCGTAACTACTCGGACTGCGCCTGCGTCCAGAGCCGGCAGGTCATCACACCGTCGTCCAGTGGTCAGGGCAGCAACCAGCTGCAGCTTGTCATCGTGAAGACCTACCTGAACGAGAACGGCTATGCCGTGTCAGGAAAGTGCGACCGCACCTGCAGCACCCTCATCCCCTTCCTCATCTTCCTCTTCATCGTCACGCTCATCACTGCCTGCGCCCAGCCCTCCGCCATCATCGTCACCCTCAGGTACAACCTTCTAAAATACAGGTGAACGTTTGTGTCCTGCTTTTCTCTGTCTAGTTCTGTGTTGTAGGACCCAGTTTTAAGGTGTTTTAACATTTGTATTTCAGTTTGATTGTTGGCCTCTTGTATACAAACCATGTGCTACTGATATGACAGTTCATGCCGTGCTCATAACATGATGCTCAGTCTCCACCCTCCTGTGTCCTGCAGGTCTGTAGCAGAGCAGGAGAGGCCGTTTGCTCTGGGAATGCAGTTTGTTCTCCTCAGGACTCTTGGTGAGTAGAAAAACAAAACAGAGAACGGCTCCCTTTTATTTCTTTTTTGTTTGTTTTTGACATGAAAAAAATCTAAATTTAACAGTACAAAATTAGCAGCGTTATCTGAGGAGACCGGTGTCAGTGCTGTAAAAATCGATCAGCTCGGCAGTACGCAGGATCAGAGCGTCAGCACTGTGCAGTCTGAAACTGCTGACTGATGGGCTGATTTAGCGTTACTCACTGTTCCCTGCGGAGCAAGGAGGTAATTTTGATTTGATACATGGGCGCTCAGAAAGCTGCTGTCAGTGTGAATTAGCCAGGGATGTTACAGACTTGGTGTGCATCAGCCAGGCAGGAAGAGGAGCAACAGATGCTGGGTTTTTGCATTATGGCAATTGTAGGATTGAGTGTTTTTGGAGGCAGAGCAGGAAAACTCATCATCTGCTGCACCATTTTCTTTTTTCCACCTGTTTCTCACGATTGACAAGCGATGCTGAATCACAGTGTCCCTGTCAGGTGTGCTAATTTCTCTGCTCATTGTGTTTTTTTTTTTCTTCTTGCCTTTTGTCCTCATCTGTCTCATTTTCACCCTCTTCTGTGTTCTTACCATTTCTCCCTCTCTTTTTTCTTTTTGCTCATTTCTTTGTCTATTCTTTCTTGACTTTGCTTTCATACTTAATCTTCTCATTCCTGACTCTCTTTCCGTTAATCGCTCTTTTCTGTCTCGATCCTACGCGTACAATTTTCTTACCACTTTCTCCTTTTTCTTCCTTTTCTTGTCCCGCTCCTTCTCTCCTCCTCCCCCTTCCATGTCATCTATCTCTCCCTCGTCTTTTACTTCTTTCCTCTACTCAGCCTACATCCCGACACCTATTTACTTCGGTGCTGTCATTGACACGACCTGCATGTTGTGGCAGCAGGACTGCGGCGTCCATGGCTCCTGCTGGGAGTACGATGTCACCTCCCTGCGCTTCATCTATTTTGGGCTGGCCGCCAGTCTCAAGTTTCTCGGCTTCCTCTTCATCTTCCTCACCTGGTACTCCATCAAGTACAAGGAGGAACGGGTCGAGCGGTGGCTCAAGCGCCACCTGTCGCCTGTCGACACGGTAGGCAGCCTCGTCGGGTCACGCCCGTACCCGCTCCTGCCCTGTCAACATTCCACGAAGCGACCTGAATGGGCTTCCCATTAATGGTCCACCTCGCGCTGGCGCCCTCAACCGTGGTGTCAGCACCCAGAGTTGCCCCGGCAATGAGCTAAAAGCAATAACTCCTACCCCTGCGGCCGTGCCGTCACCTGCTGCAGCTCCTGCCCCCACTCCGGCCCGATCGCTGGAACATGTTTCAGTCCGAGTCTGAGTTTCAGAACAGGGGCAGGTAGCGAGGCAGGTCCTACCCACTGACATTTCTTTAATTCTGAAACCCAGTCCTCTGGATTTTAGTCGCTGTCAATGGCACCAATCGTCACACGGAGTTCATGCTCTCATCTCAACACTCTTGTTGGCTGGTAAGATACTCGGAGGCTTGTAAGTTTTGTTCATAAAAAAACCATCACCTGGAGGCCATGATTTATTCTGAACCTCCAGATCAGCAGCTAAATGATAAAAGGTTGGATTATTGTGGGGACCAACCAGCCTGGAGACTCCTGACATGACAGATCTGCTGGGCTGGAAGCGTCCGGGTGTTTTCTTTGTGATCCACCTGCCAGTGCAGCAAGCGGACAAAGGCTTAACTTCCCTTTGGATGAGAGTGAGTTCATTGCACATCAACCCCACCTGCTCCTCCTCCACACTGGCAATATGTGCCTTCTGTCACCATGTACAGTACATGCACAAACACGCTGGACATCTGTCAGACTGTGGTCACCCTGTAGAAACGAGTCCCCTGGAGAGATACCTCAGCTTCGCCAGCCGTCCCCTTGTTCCTATAACATGTGTGCTGCTTTTTTTTCTTTTCATTTTTGTTTTTCTTCGCCCTCATGTGAGCTACTTTTGTTTTGCGGGCACTGCATATCAGCACTCTCATGGAGCAAAAAACAAAACCTTTGGAAATGTGATACACTGCAATTCAGTGTTAATTGGAAACCGATGGAATGGTGCTATGTGGAAAAACTGTTTAGCGTCTTTTTTTTTTGTTGTTCTTTTTGGTCATTTAGGGTTAAAAATGTAACAGGAACAGGACAACAGGTCACTGGGTTAAACAGCTTGGCACGCACAGAATGCATTCCTATCCAATGCAAGGCCTTTTGTTGCTCCTCTGACACAATGACACGTAATATTACCGCTGGAATCTCCGTACACCCAAGCTATTTGCTCCATGACTGACACCCTGATAAGTGGTTTAGCCTGAAAAGAACGGGATCTGCATTTTTCCTCCTGACCACATTCCCAACCGGACAAGTCACCGTGAACCCTTCACACAGGAAGAATACGGAAAGAAGAATCTGTGCTTGGAGAAGTTTTCAAACTTGGACTGGGAAAGCGCTCTGGAATTCTTGACAGACTGTATTTTAGATGACTTACCAGGCTCAGTGAAAGATACAGCCAGTCATTTTCCTACAGTAACCCCAACATTGTACTTAACGTGTAGAAAGACAAGTAGATGAGCATCACATAGAGGTCGTAGTGTAGTCATGTCTTCTTTGTCGGCTCCAGAAATAAAAGCTGCTAGTGAGTTTTGGGATGGATTTTGGATACAGAGTTAATGTAATGGCTCGTGCCATGTTGGTAAATTATTAAACTGTCGTAGAAAATGACCTTCTTGCCTGAAAGAAAAGGATGTGCATTTTTTTAACCACTTGCCAGGTCAGACTACAGCTTGCACATGTGCAGTTCAAAGTGTGGAAAACCAGTAGTTTCCAGGGCAAGAACAGCCTCATAATTTAGCAAAATCACAGGGAAAATACTGAAAAGGATCATGAGCAAAGTCAGGCTGCAGCTAATGATAATTTTCTTTATTTATTAGTCTACTGCTTATTCTTTAATAATAGATCTAACACAAAGTCAGAAAAGCCCTTCACAGCTTCTCAGACCCCGAGACGATGTCTTCACATCTTGTTTTTTTTGGCCAACAGCCCCAAGATCAGAGATCAGTTTTCAGTGAGTTAAATTAGAGAAAAGCAACACATTTTAAAAGCTGGAACTATTAGGTATTAAACATTTAGTGTTTTATTCTTGATAGAGTGGTAATTGATTATCAAAAATATAGTTAATTACAGTTCTGCTGATTGGATTGTCTCCAGTTTAGGCCCAGGAGTTGAAGCAGGTTGTAATAATAATCTGCAGTCATTTCACCAATTCATAACTACACTGACAAAACTCTCCATCTTATTAAGTCAATTTGTCTTTAATTGGGCTCATAAATGTCTGAAACTGGTGAAAAAAAAATATTATTTCAGCCTGTTTTAAATACAAATTGACAAAACAGTCTCACCCCAAGCTTAAATTTGTAGCAGTCCTGGAGCTTTCACCCATATCAGATGAGCTACATCACAGCAAACATCAGGCTGGGCACAGAAACCTACATCTAGTCTCCTGATTGTTCACTCCATCTGGTATTTTGACAAGGAAAAATTGACGGGGAAGGTATGAGTTTCATTTTTCAGTAGTAACAGTTCAATCACTTTTAAATCTTATTCTAAAATAAGTTTGTAAAATAGTGGAAATGTGAGATTTAGCAGCTAATGGAGGCAAAGCAATTCTGAAATTATTTGAATGTTATAAGCAAGTGAAAATGAAATGCCACAGAATTTACAGCACTGGAATATTTGACCTTGACCTTGCAAACACTCACTTGACTGTTTGCAGTTTGAGTTGTCCTTTTATTTTAACTGGTATGGATTCACAAATTCAGATTCAAATAAAATCACATGATGTTACGTGAGGATTCCAGTAGTTCATGTGAACGTGTTGTTCTTGGGTCACATGACTGACTGAACGTAAACCGAGGTCTGAACCTATACCACTTAAAATCACTGGAAGAATAAATTCAGACAAACGGTTTTTAAAGTGAAATATGTCAGTGCTGTAATCATTAAGTAGTTACATCTTACAGTTTGACAATCTTACTTATACAAATCAAATTATTTTAGCGGTAGTTTGCTTCCACCGTGGTTGGCAGGTTAGCGTTTGTGATGACTCTAGAACAGGGTTGGTTCGAGCATCTCTGAGCTGTAGGAATGGCAGGAACGCAGTATGCATTTTTCAACAACTTCAGTGTCACCACTGATTTTCCTGAGGTGCTCATGACAGGCAGTGCTGCAACAGTGTGAGTCACTGGTGCTGAGAGCCTTTGTGCTTTTGTTACAAATCCGTCCTCAGTGTCTGGGACTGCAGTGCTGCCTGTGGAGTCAGTGGTTCATGTACATAAAGATGCAGTAGTTGTAAACTGTCGCTGTCCTCTGAGGACACCTGCTGGGAACATATGGAACAGCATGTAAAGACAGGAGGGCATTAATTCAACAAACATGTCCTAGAGCAGTGCTTGAATATCAGCAGAGGAACTGAAGTGTGGACTGTGGCGTTTGTGTCTCATGCGTGCAGGATTTTTACATTTGAGGCTTTTTTGAATTGAGGATTATTTGTACAATATGTGAGAAAATGAGGAAAATACCTCTTATAGTGTGTTAAAGGCTAAGTCTAGTTTAGTCCAGTCATCAGTCCTTAAACCAGGAGTGGTACATTTACCATCATAAGGCTGAAGAAAAGCAGCCAGACTTCAGATGCTGGAACCTGATGTAGTGTTTTTTGAGAAATGTAGATTTTAACCAATTCGACTGCAACAAAACAAAAATATGGCAGCACTTATTTTCAGCACATTTCTTACATCTAAGTAATATGCTACCATTTATAAATGTTCATAACACAAAAATGTTGCTGTAAAGAGGTATGAAGACATTTAAGTGTTAGCCTACAGTATGTTTCAGCTTCCACCTGCATTACAGTGTTATAAACCACTTACTGTATAAATGTTCATAAACAGTATATGATGCTAAATTCCTGGCTTGAAAAAATGTGTTTTTCCTAATCGTTAACCAGTCGAACTTAGTATATGAAACTCTGAGCGCTAGTGTCGGTACAACATTTACTGCTACAGTAGCTAAACAAAATCTTTTCAGAACCTCAGTTTGGGGAGGATAAACAATTTTTTAAATTTAATAAAAGTTATCTTAACACTAAGACTGCAACTAACAGTGATTTTCATTATAAATCAATCTGCCATTTGTTTTCCCAATTAAAAAGTTATCTCTTGACTAAAATAAGTCATTTTTGACCAAGAATCTAAAACCCTAATTAATTCAGTTTTCTGTGACATGAGATGCAAAAAAAGAGAAAATGTTCAACCTTGACAGTGTTTGGCTTGTTTTACTTTAAAAATCACTTAATGGTTCAGTATTATATTCCTGCAAGTGTAGAGAACAGTAAACAGTATTTAAACTTTAATGTTTAGCCAGTTAATTGTTAATCAGATGTTTTAAATAAGACAAATGGATTCTTGGCCTAAAATCCCAGGTACAACTGAAGAGAATATAACTTATCTCAGGATTTCCCTAGAAGACGGCTGAGATTCGAGGACAAGTCTTATTTTCTATATAATTAGTGTTCAACAATCTATAGAGCTCCATTGTTGTCCAAAAACGAGCATTGCAGATAGTTGCAGATTAATTTTGTCAGCTGACCGACCAGATAATGGAAGAGTTGATTCAGCTCTACTCAGCACTTTGGTCTCTAGATGTTAAGCCGGCAAAGTTCCTGTAAAGTGTCTGAAATTAGATTAGGCTCCTGTTTTGTTGATTTATTTTCCAAATTATCTGATCAAAGATTAAGTAAGAATAAGAATCTGACTAAGCATTTTAAGCTGTTCAGTATTTTGATACTTGACTGCTGACAAATGTCAGTCACAAAGTATAATTCACAGTAACTGAAAGTTAACACCACTCCTGGTTTGTGATGTTGTTACGACTCCACAATGAAAGATCTATTATCATTACTACATTTGTGTCCTATTGACCTTTTATTAGTTTACAATTACAAGATCAATTTTATTGTGCTGTTCAAGATGAGATGTTTTTCACATCTCATGTCTGTCTGGAAATATCTCTAATCTAAAAAGGATTAGAGCATGAGAGAGACGGTGGGTTCAAGGCTCCAGTGTATTAAATCCTTTAATCCAAGAGAGAAAAGTCCAAATTCTGGTGCACAGTGTTGAACATTCTGCAGATTGGAGCTTGTTTGGTGCAGAGAGATGATTTCTGGTTATTAGATGAACTTTAATGCGACAGGTGGATTGAAAAAGAAAAAATCTGAGGGACACAACAGAGCCACAGTTTGATAAATTAATCTAGTCAGTGATCTTCCTACAGCTGCCAGAAACAGTGAATAAGCAAACTTGACTCATGGCTTCAGGTCTCAACACAGCACATACAGCAAATCAGAAACACTGCATCCCATTTTCATGTAAAAGTGAGAACAGCCAACAAAAATCACGATTAACTCGTGTGCCGATCATTTAGTGTTAGTGAAGCACTGAGACACTCATCCTCCTATGTTCTGTCATGTTGAGATGTTCCTGCTCTGCTGGTGTTGTGCTTTTCCATCACAAACAATGCTGAGAGGATGAAATATCGAGTCCATCTTTCTGACAACTACTTTATAAGTCTTGGAAATTAAGCGCAAAATCTTATTATTGTTGCACTTCATGCCAAAACCTCTATTCATTAAGTAAGTTTAAGCTTACTGTCTTAAATTTGTGAAAATAGCTTTATATAAAAAAGCTCACAAATTTATAGTTTCACTTTTATAAAAAGGCAAAATATTTCCCCAAAACCGTTGCTCACTGCAGTGTTAAGCAGATCTTACACAAACATGAGAAAGTAGTGCATTTGTTAGGGACTATTTTTAGTGGCGGATGAATCCCCCTTCAATTGTCAGTCTTGATGCTGAGCTAACACATACCTTCTCATCTCACTCTGGTAAATTAAGTGAATAAACCAATTTCCCACTTATTTGATGTCTTGGGTGTTATCATCTTGTAGAGTTATTTTTGTAACAAATCTAAAAGAAATTTCAGTATTTTGGAGATTGTTTATGAATTTAACAGGCTCAAATAATTTTTGCCACAAATGAATGAGGAAAAATGTCAGATTTCAAATTGGTCCTGCAGGTGGCCTCAGTATTTCATCCTCTGAACTGTCATTAGTTTCCATCCTCCTTTATTTCCATGTGCTGTTTCCATATCATTCCATTTATATGTCACTGTAGACACTGAATCTGGGTCTGTGTGAGCTCCTTTGGACAGATGTAAGTTCTTCTTTTCTATTTATCAGTATTGTATTTATTTTTAGAAGAACCATGTTTCTGACTGAGTGGAAGGCTGCACTGAACAAAGGCAAAATGTAGATTTGTGGACATGCTACAAATGCCTTGGATACTTGACTTCTGTTAATGAAAATGTGAAAAAATAAAAGTATTACAGAAACTGCTGCTTTGTGGATTTAATTACAATCACAAATGTTATTTCCTCATGCAGTGGTAAAGTGGATGTGTTGCTCTTGGTGGTTTAACAGAAAGGCAAATTATTTCCATAATGATTTAGATTGCATAACTGTGAAGCTGAATCAATCAAATGCATACACCCGTTGACTGTATATATGATGCACAGCCCGACAGCTCCCAGAAGTGAAGCCACTGTGAGTCAATCGCCCTCTGGTGGCTGATTGAAGTATAGGTCATAAATCCCATCCCCTCCATGTTAGTGGATGGGATGTGAGCCGAAATAAGAACTCAAAAGTACTAATCAGAGTTTTCCCAGAGGTGATTTTTGTAGATATTATCATGCTGATGTGTGTACAAATCAAAATTTTTCTGATAAATTAATTTTTAATAAGTTATTTGTTGATGTATAAAGAGGTGCATTTCAGTTGATTTGACAGCTTTGACTGGCGCTCCGATACGTCACTCAACCACTCGATCGCTACTGCACAGAATCAGGGTTGCAAAATGCCAAGATGGCATGCATTGTAGTCATGATATTTTGGCTTCACTTTTGCAAGGAGGGAAGTGGTGACGCATTGTCCGTATTTATATACGGTCAATGGTTTGATCTAGTACAGTGGGTGTATTACTATAGATCATTTCTTTATCTTATACATTTCTATTTTATGCAAAATGTTTATTTGCAGTTGACTATTTTTAGTTAATTCTAGCTAATCTTATTTCCAAATGACTGCTGTTATAGAATACAACATTTATTTGGATTTTGGAAAAGGGGCATTTTGAGATAATTACAACTGGAATTAACATGCATTAAACTTTGACTATGAAAAGGGCCATAATTAAATACCACTTCATGCAATTTTTTTTCTTTTTCAAAATAAGTTTATTCCAGGTGAAATCTTAAATTTTATCCCAGTAGTTTTTAAAGTGTCCCTCTTTGACCCTATGTTTCTCTTGACAAAAACTGTTTACCAAGTAGTTTTTGTTCCAGCTGTTTATATTTCAGAATCTCTCTCATCCAAAGTCTGCTCATCTTTATAGACTGCAATTTAAAAATGTGGCATAAAAAAAAAAAAACAATTTGAGGAATTAAAGAAAGCAAAATGGATATTTGAGATGAGTGGAATTTAAAAATATAATTTAATATTCATTCATAGTTATTTCGTGTCAGGTTACTCATCACCAGACACTTTGAGCTTTCACGATGTCAAAGAAAAAAGCTGAATAGTTTAATAAAAAGTAGAAAACAGAACAAGGTTTCACATTTTAATGATTCTACATTACAGACAAGCTTTTCATAAAAACTATCTACCAAGCTTGCATGCGTGAAGATATGTACACAGAATTTTTCCTAACTCAAATGAAGCTCCATCTGCATCTGACAGCAACTTTAGAGCAGTTTAAAGCAACAACCCCCCAAACCTTCATGTTTAAATGCTGCAGATTTATGGCTCTTCCTGTGTGAGTACAATACTTTGCATAAAGTGTTGTCAAATCATTATATCGTTCTCATGCTCCATGCAGATCATTTCGGCACTTCCACGAAGGCCTGGAAGTAACCTAGTTATAAATGCAGTAAATTGTACATATTCTGCTGTCTGTTTACTGCAGATACTGCCCACAAGCTCAATACTGGCTGAAAAGTGGAGCAAGCTTATTTTCCTTTACAGTAATTTAAGGCCCAAGAGTGTGAAAAAGATCCACAAATTAAAAGTAAACATGCTGTAAATATAATACAGTAATACCTTCAAGTAGTAGTTATGAATATCGTCTAAATTCAAATTCATGTGGGGACAAAATTGAATACCTTTATAGTCTGAAACTGAAATCATCTAATCATTTTTATTCCACAAAATTCTTCAGACGTCTGGAAGCCTGAGACACAGTGTGCATCTCTGTGTAGACATATCTATTAATACGAGTTCTCCTAGAAGTTTCAGAATTCCTGAAATGTGGAAAAGGAAAATCCTAAAAATAACCCCAAGTTGTGATGCAGCACGTTTCCAATCTCTGTGTACATGCAGAAGGCTGATATCAGACAGTGATGTACAGACATGGGTGGAAGTATATAGAGGCTGCCTTATCGTTTTATTTTACAAGTCTGCTATCTCCTAGGAATTTCTTGAAAGTTTCCTGGAAAGTATCACGTAGTTTTACAAATAAAAATAGGAACAAAGTTGAAAGAGTTTTTTTTGTGTTGACTATATTCTTTGCTTCCAGATGAAAATGCCTCAGTTTGCATTTTTAAATAACTGGAAGTGTACCAACTGATCAATTTCTAATTTTAAATATGATTTGTACCAAATTATATAGTTCCTTCCAGGAAACGTCTTAGGAAATTATTTAGAAACTCACTGGAATTTACAGACCTGTAAAATAAAGCATTACTGAGACTGCTTTGACATGAAAAAACTAAAATGGCAGCATGTGTAAGGCAGAGTTTTTCCATGGTGGCAACAGGAGCAGGAGAAAATCATCAACCTTAGAAGTGGAGACCCTGAGGAGAAGAACCCCAAAAAAGATGGAGGTTTAAAATCTGGGTGAGGATAGTGCATCATATAGAAGGCCAATGCATTCACCAAAGAAATCTCGTAATTGACTTATTTTATAAATTCAAGATCCCGATCTCATAATTAACACGATCATTTTCCCATAATTACCCAGCACAGAGGCTCAGTGGTTAGCGCTGTTGCCTCGTAGCAAGAAAGTCCTGCGTTCAAGCCCAGGCCTGTGTGGAGTTTGCACGTTCTTCTTGCCCCTGCGTGGGGTCACTCCAGGTACTCTGGCTTCCTCCCACAGTCCAAAAGACATGCAGCTTAGGTTGACTACTGATTCTAAATTGGACTGAGTGTGTGTGGTTGTTTGTTTACATGTCAGCCCTGTGATAGACAGGTGACCTCTTCAGGGTGGACCCCAGTGTCAGCTGGGATTGGTTCCTGCACCCCCACGACCCTGTTCAGGAATAAGCGGTATAGATAATGGATGGATTTTCTTAATTATGAGAATGCAGGGGTTGGAACGCTGCAGAACCTGCCTAAAAGCTTCAGAACCTGCCTGAGAAGACCTGGGTTTTTATTATTTCTTCTTAATTCAATCCTAAAAACCCAGTGTTTCTCAAGCAGGTTCTGAAGCTTTCCACCTCCTGCTCAATACATGCAGCCTAGCGAGTTGCACTGTAGACAACAACTTCGAGGCCCGTTGTAGCCCATATTTGTTTACGTTCTGGAACACTAAGCACACCGAATTAGCTATTAACAGTTCACTTTTGCTGTGCACTATTGGATGTACCGACAACTATCACTGAATTACTTTGATACTAAATAATTTGTTAAAACCAAATGATTTTCAGGCAGGTTCTGCACCATTTCAACCCCTGCATTATCTCATAAGAAAAAGATCTCGTAATTATGAGACAGTAAGTCATAGTTACGAGATAAGGTCCTAATTTTTTTTTTCTTTAGTGAATGCAATGCCCTTCTGTAGCATCACCCTTAGGGAACAATTGACAACAGAACCTCAGCTGCTGCCTCTCGTGTTACATGCATTCAAGTCACAGAGATAACTCTTCTGCTAGCCCCAGGAGGACATGCATGCCAAACATTTAACCCCATTGTTTGACAACACTCGCACAAATTCTAAAGGTATGCAATTTTCACTCTCTATTGAGCTTGTACTGCATGAAGGTGTCTCTGAAAATTTGGTCTTAAAAAAAAGCCTTAAAGCAGCTGTGTGGTAGGATGACAAAATACAAATCCCAAAACTATAAGACAAAAGAGGATAAGATGCAAGGCATTAGCAGGAATAACAGGGAAACGGGATCCTGATACTTGGTGTGTCTGCACAAGCATCTTGGTATGCTTGCAGGTGCCTCAGCTAACTACAGCAGCTCGTTAACAGCAGGGAGGGAGGAAAATTAGCATAACAGTTTATTTCTAAAATAAAGCCAAAGCTAGAGGGAAGCTGGGGTGTGGTTGACAACTAAGACAATGATGGGACAAGTTAGCTGTCTGAATGTTAGCGCACACCACTGTAGTTAGCTAAGACACTTGTAGACATGTTGCATACTGTCAGAATGCTTTAGCTGAACTTACAGAAATACAATAGCCTGAGCTGACATTTGGATATTTGACTTAACAGTGACAAAATGCTTGTTACACATGAAGGCATATTGACTGTCAGGACCCCATAGTTTCCCGTTCTTCCTGCTAAGGT